CAATCATCATCACAATACTCAATTACTTTATTATTACTGGACTAAGGAAATTAGTGTTTCATAATTTTACGTTCAAATTATGAGAGAAACTGGGAAATATTTGGTTAAGCTGTTCATACAGTGTCTTACTCTCACAGTATATTGTGCCATATTTGATTTATACACAGCATTTAGTATGCATTTAAAAAAAATAAGAATTTGACCATATCACTTTGTTCTAAAGATTTCAAGCACTTGTCTTTGTCAAATTCCAAGTCATTAACACTTTCTATAATTCTATAATATTCTCTAATTTCTGTAATTTCTATAGTATTCTATTATTCTATACCAGGCTTATGAAGTCAGAAGCATGTTGTGGTTTAATACAAAGTATGTGTCATTTGGTGTATTTACCTTACAAACTTTACAAACTCGGCTGTACATCCTGTATTGTGCTTTCAGTACCAAACCCAGTGTCTCAGGAAAGCTGATTTTCTAAGCTGCTTACTTCCTGGGGCGGAAAACTCCCAATTAGGCAGCAGAACGCTGCTGTTGCCGGCAGCTTCCCATAACCTCCTGTCCTTCCTCAGAGCAGCAGGTCTGTTACAAATGCTCTTTAACCCTGCAGCCACCGATGGTTTCCAGGCTGAGACGCAAATCTAAAGCTCAGAACATGTACGTAAAGAGCAGGGGTAGGAGAGGACCCAAGCATTGAAAGAGTCGATAAGCTTTGCAGATGTTTATGACTCGTTTTACCTACACTCTGAGGTGCTGAGTGCTCATGGTTTTTTGAACTCGTTATCTGGCCAGTCAGTCCAGGCTGGTTGTTTTCTACGTACGTGGACTTGCGCAGGCTTGTAGAGGTTGAACAACTTCGGATGTTTATAGAGTAATTCAGGCGCGAGCAATGCCACTGTTTGCCTCTGTTTCAGAGCTTATCTCACTGTGAATTGATCACTGACGATGGGATTCTTCATCTGAGCAACAGCACGTGTGGTCACGAAAGGCTGCAGGTTCTGGAGCTCGACAACTGTCTTCTCATCACAGACGTGACTCTGGAACACCTGGAGAACTGCCACAACTTGGAGAGAATTGAGCTGTACGACTGCCAGCAAGTCACGCGCGCTGGAATCAAACGGATCAGGGTACGCCTTCGCCAACTCGTTTGCGTGGGAACGCCTGAGCCCTTGGTGATCGTGTCAGTCTTGCAGCTGTTCCAGACAAGGGAGGCTGGAAAAGCAGAGTCTGGATATTGTTCTGTGCATCCCCACCTCTAAATGTAGCTTTTCTTGGACAGGTGTTTGCTTTTTAGCTAACTGACCCTACTGAGAGCCTGCTTGTCAGCAGTTATTGAGGCGTGGTGGCCATTTTTCCTATCGATATATCTTTTCCTCCCCTTTTAACACACTGACTTTTCATCCACAGGCTCATCTACCTCACGTGAAAGTTCATGCTTACTTCGCTCCAGTAACTCCCCCTCCCTCGGTGGGAGGGAGCGGACAGCGCCTCTGCAGATGCTGCATTATTCTTTGACAGTAAATGCGACCACACAGAGAAGATTTCGGTGGTGTTGAAGAACGGGACTGCGAGTCGGTGGAAGGAGTTGGTTTTCCTGACAGTCCTGCTGGTGGTGTTTGGTCATCCAGTTTCGTGACAAGAAAAGCGTTTTTTCTTTCTCCCAGGTAAAAAAAAAAAATCTTAACGTAATGTGCAGCTGTGGATTAAGTAAGTTGGTGATGCTTCGGTTTGTATTAGTAACTCCTTCCTTCTGTTGGCATGAGAACTAAGTACCGTGGCAAATGTGCGGGCATAGTGGCTACTTGGTGAAAGTTCACTGAACTTGGAAGTTCATTTGCTTTTGTGAGCACTACTTAGCGTGAAGTTCTGATACAACACAGGGCTCGAGTCCGTCACACCAAGGAACTGAACCTGCTGTTCTGTGCTATATGCGACAGATTAAATATCAGGTTTAAGGACAATTCAGCTTTAGCAGATGTCGACCAAAAAAAAAAACCTACAGAGTAATCATGAGCTCTTACAGCGAAACAGCTTCTACTTTTTCACGATTCAGCTTCATATTTAATTGCATAGCAGGACATCATAGGTAATGTCAAAAGGTAAGATAAATAGAAATATAAATAAATACTTCCCAAGTTTTTGAACTTGGTTCAGTCGACCTCTGTGTTAGTGCAAAGCTTGCCTGGCACTGGTGCATGTTTTACACCCGATGCCATTGGCCTTTAAAAGGGGTAAGAAACCCGCACTGGGTGGAGGGTGCGGCGTTCCCGCTTTTCTACAGGCGGAGAAGGAAACAGCGACAGGAGCTAGGGTGGAGCGAGGAATGCGGTTTATCCCACCTGGACCAGGGGTGCAGTGAGCAGAAGGGAAAATAAAGCGGGAGGTGACCCAAACCTGTGGTTTCTCAAATGTAGAAAGCCAAACTTCACATCTGGGTTATGTAAGAAGCCGTCGGCTTCCGAATGGTAATAATAATAATAATAATAAAATCTATGTATTAATTCTTAAGGCCATGCTTTCATCTTTAGTTTTTCAGTGCTAGAGGGTTAGAAAAAGTAAACTTTTTTTTTTATATTAAGCAACTTAATTATCTGAGATAAACTACTCAACAGTTCAGAAAGCTTTTTTTGTGTAAGATTGGTTGTGTGCGTGTATGTTTTAAGAGTTCAGGGCCTGTGTGTTTACTGAAAACTAATAGAAATACCAGCTTGCTTAAAAAAAAGCAGTTGGAGAAGCTATGACTGGCTAGTACTGCAATTTCCCCCCAAAAATTTAAAGCTGCTTTTCAAAAGGAGCGTGAACAGCAAGAGACTTTTCTGGATGACAACCATGGGGTTGCGTTCACGCTTTGCAGATGATGGGGCCAGTAACTCATGACCTCATGACGGTTAAAGGCCAGTCCAGCCACAAGCTGGTTGGTTGGAGCTTGTTTTGCACAGTGTTGTTACAATCGTACCGAGTGTTCTGGTGAGAGTTTTAAGCAGCTTTGTTCTCCACCATACAAGGGAGCCATCGGTACCCGTATGTCAAGATGTGTTGCCTTTCATTGGCTCTTTTTTAATTTTTTCCTCCAAGAACCTAATGAACCTTGTAAATCTGTTGCATTCAAGCTGTACAAAAACCAAATGGAACCTACTCGGATATAGGACACTTCAATAAACAATCAGATGTGTCGCACTTGAGTCCGTTTTGACTGTTTTTCGTGAGGAGAACAAGACACAAGGTCCATGCACATGCGCAAAACAAATGACACGCACCCCCCCCCC